TTTGTTTTTGAGATAATAGTGATAAAGTATTTGCACATAGTTGAATATAACGAACCTAACTGGAATTGGAACTTAACTCTCCAATTTCCAATTCTGAGCCATTAACCATTTACACCACCCACATATCCAAGTTTACAATACCTGGTATTCCCAGGCAGTCACTCATGTAGGTACTGACCAGTCTTGGTGCTGCTTAACTTTGGTGACCATACAAGAACTGGTATTTCAACATGGCTTGGCTGTACACTCCGAGAAGCAGGAGGAGAGCTTGTGTGAATGGACGTCAGACAAAGGACAAAAAATGATAGTAAAAAGTTATTTAGAGCAACAGCAGATAGAAAGTTGTGGAGAGAAGTGGCATATAAAAGAAACTGTCAAAGAGAAGTTTCCCGCTGCATCTTGACTGATTATCCTACAAAACAGAAAAGGAAGAGAGGACAGAAAGGGAAGAAATGGTTTTCTAACAAATGTAAAATTCATTGATGTTTCCAGTAAAGATATATTCAGACCTTGTTATATAAAAATTCAAGAATGTTCAATTCCAAACACTGATTGTATCTCAAAGTTATTTCTTGAAATTAGAAAAATAGTAACTCAACAACTTGATTAGTTTGTTATTTATAAGCAAAATAGCAGTTGAAACTAATTCAGTGCTAAAGATTTGAGAATCTTGATCATTTAAATGTTTTATGACTGCATCTAGTAAATTCCTTACTCAAAACTTGAACATTATTTGCTGGAGACATACATACAACTACACCTGACAGACCTTACTATAAAACATTGTCTTTATTGCATTGCACCTGTATGTAGAATATTTGCGTTCAGCCAACTGAAGAAATTTTTCAGCTCCTGGCTGTTGAATTAGCCTGGTTTTGGATAGAGATTCCATTAAACAACTTGTATATCATTCTTGCCTATCTAACATGCTGGGATATTAGATTATCCTGGGGGAATCAAATAATCAAGTAGTGTTTGCAATTAAGTGCCGAGTTAGGATCAATTCTGCAGCAAATATAAATAATGGTAATTTTGGTTTGAATTTATAGATTGACCTCTCACAGCAAAAACATTAATATATTTGTAGGAAAAAGAAAGTCATTTCATGTGCTGAAAAATTCATTGTTTTTTGTTTTTTTATTAAGGACATAAATCAGAAAAGAAAAGGTTGAACTAATGACAACTTAAAATATCCAGGAAAATAAAGTAAGTGTGCATAGTCATTTACAAATGGATGAACAGAAAATATTAAGTGCTATTAGTAAAAAGAAAAATGCAGTAAATTTTGGCATTTAAAGAATAAATAAAATTAAAAAAATCAAGTCACAGTTGATGAAATTATCATCTTCATTTTGTTTTAGCAGACAATTATCATTTAATGATTGGATGCTCTATATACAAATTCAAGAGAGTAGCAAAGATCAGAGCTTTCCAAGCTGGTACCATAACAATTTTATTTTATCTCCCACAGTTGGGATAACAACAACAAAGATGAGGACATTAATCTGAATGTGAAGAACAATTCCTCATCACAGAAATTCAAATAGAAATTTGTTGGAGTCTAAAAAAAAAAATAAAATAAAATAAAAAAATAATAAATGAAAAAAAAAAAAAGGAGAGAGAAAACACCAATTAGAATTTGTTTTTAAAGTGTGTTGTCAATGCAAAAAATTTTGGAAGTTTGGGCCTAGACACTGATTAAATGTGATAAACAGTGGAAAGCACATTGCAAGATGGACCACTGATTTCAAGCTTTATAGAAAAGGGCTGATGTCAATAAAAATAAATTTAATTCTTAATGTTTATCCAAGCAGCAGGTGGATTGTTTACAGGGACACGTCAGTCAAATTGCACTTAGAAATATTACTTTTGAATCATGTCTAGAATTCTTCACTTTTCTCTGATCTGGTAAACTTGTCTCAGAAACAAAATCATTTTACAAGTAGGATGTTACAAAAGCCAAAAAATAGCTGTTTTCGGCAAAAGATATTTTTGAAAACCCTTAATGAATTATATTCTGGGTATAGGCATTTTTTTTATATTCTCATCAAAAAATTCACAAATTACCTCATCTAAAAAAAATATTTTGAACGGAATTAAAAAATATTTGAGCATTTTAGAGATAGAATGAGTCTATCCTGAACATCTTAGATTTGGCAGAACCACTTTTGCAAGTTCAGTGGTAATAACACAGACTCTAAGACTATTTCAGAGTTAAATTCAATTTCTACCATAAAATTGAAGTACTTGTCCCCTTGCTTGTGTCTGTGTGTGTCTTATTAGATATAGTCTTCTACTGGGTTGAACCCACTTTTGTCTTTGGAACTGCCTCAGTTCTTCTTGCATGGATTTAGCCATGTTCTAAGAGCACTCTTTCAAAATGTGGGTCCATCCAGTGATTTTTCTAGATAGGTTGGTTGCACATCCATGATTTGAATTTCCCTTTCTACCACATCCCAGAAATAGTCTATTGGATTGAAATCTGGTGACTATGGAGGTCACTTTAACACAGAAAAAAGTCATTGGTGTGTTTCATGCCACTATTTCATATTTGTGGTACTGTGCATTGTCCTACTGGAAGTGCTCACCAGAGGATGCATGCACCTTAGTCAGAAATTGAGGCATGTAGTCAGCCACACTACCAAGGGCCCCAATACATGTAAAAAATATTCCCCATCCCATTACACCACCACCAGCCTGAACAGTTGATGCAAGGTAGGATGTATCCATACTTCCAGTTTGTTTATGCTAAATTCTGACTATTATCAAAATGCCACAAATCAAGACTTATCAGAGCAGCCAATGTTTTTCCAATTGTCTATTGTCCAATTTTTGAGATCCTTGTTGAATTGTAGCTTTGGTTTCTTGTTCTCATTTGGCATGTGTGGCACCTGGTGTGGTCTCATTTTGCACTTCTGCATACTGCCATAGTAAAGAATGGTTATTCAAGTTATTGTTGCTTGTCTCACAGCTAGTTTCCCTGTCAACCCCTTTTATCAACAAGGAATTTCTAGCCACATAAGATATTGCTGCTCACTGGAATTTTTTCCCCTGCCCCTTTTTTGACCATTCTTTGGAAACCTTAGAACTGTTCAAAATACACCAACAAATATGCCATATTCAAAGTTACTTAAAAATCACTTTTCTTTCCTATGCAGGAGATGAAATTCATTAGGCCAACATGTTGATGTATAAAGGCCTGTGTCCATTAAATTTCTACAACATCATTGGCTGATTAGAAAGTTGCATAAAAGAATATTTGTTTACACGTTTGTGTTTATGCAACAGGGTAGGGCCGAAATCTAACAAATTCTGGACACTTGTCCAATAAAGCTATTTTTTTATTTTTTTTTTTAAAGCTGTATATAGTAAATAATTTTGTTGCAAGAGTTCATTTAAATTCAGTGTTGTGATAAGCTTTAAGTTGAAACAAAAAGATTCATGATTCTTATATTACAAACACTCATGGAACAAAAAAAAAAAAAAAGTACCAAGATGTAATGTTGGGTAAAAAGAAAATCGATTATCGGTAAAGGGGCATAATTCATGAAATTAGTAAAGCAGGAACCACCTGAAAAGTTTCCATCTCCCTCCCTATGACATACTCACAGCATCACATGGGGGGAAGATATATATATATATATATATATATATATATATATATATATATATATATATATATCAACACTCCTGGAACATGCATATTGAATAAATGATGGTCTGATACCAAAAGACATGTATAGTTAGCTAGTCATGAGATACCATCCAGTAGGTGACCCTGCACTATGTTTCAAAGAGGGACCTGAAACTCACAGACATTGATTCTGGTAGCTGAGAACAGGATTGCAGTGTCTGGCGGTATGTGGTACAATTAGGAGTCATGAAAGGTGGGAAAAGGCGAAACCAACTGTTGGAGATCAGAAGACAATGCAGGAATCAGAGAGAGCAATCTCAGACCTTCATGCTGCATTCTAGCTTTGTCTGACACACCTGCAGAAGAAACTGCCATGCAAAGATTGGACTGTTAAACCACTGAAGATGCTGGTCACAAAATGACTGGATTTTCAGCAAACAGAGCATTACCATTTTCTTGCAAAATAAATGGATACCAGCAATACAGTAAATAATTTTGTTGCAGGAGTTATTTAATTGAGACTTGTGATAAGCTTTACATGGCTGACGAGGCAGATTTTATAGTATGGCTTGAAGTCCTAAAAATTTGCAAAGACCACATTTTTGTTAAATTGCAGATTTTTTCTAAAAGCATTAATCAAAAATCGGCTAAGTGTAGGAAACTTAATTTACCATGTTCTTACTTAGGCTTTTGGAGGAGCTTTTCTATGGAGGCATTATCTAATTTCACACATTTGAAGGGGGAAAAAAAAAAATGGAAGGAGGACAAGATAAAAATTTTTTTTTTATCATTTCCAAAGAATTTAAATCAATGAGTGATAGGATCAAAAGAAGAGATTTATTTTGAAGTTGAATTTCAATTTTGGTTACAAAATTGTTTAATATGAATTTTTCTATTATTAAGAATATTTCATGCAGTATTACCATTGTAAGATTGTAACAATACAAATGAAGGTGTCTCAATGTTGATATTGGTAAAAAAAAAAAAAAAAAAAAGGTAAGACATTTTTAAGTTGCTTGTTTGTTTCTTTTTTTTTTTACTTTAATTTTAGGGATTAACAAATGATCATCACTCACATCAAACTTCATTGAATTCATAAAAATCAAATTTTGCTCACATTAACTTTACAATTTACACTGGTAATCAGTAATTAATCTTTATTAAGTATATGATGATATTTTGAATAAGCAGACATAAGTCTATATTTCCGAGATGAGGTATTGTAACCATTTACTTGGTTTGGACTATTCTCCTCATTTTTGTTGTTATATTCACATTTCGACTGTTGTACTCTCTGGCCTTCTTCACAAAAAATGATGAACAAAGACATTGATAGAGATTCTATTCAATTGTGAAGAAAACTCACCTTTATTGTTGTACACATCCAAGTAATTAGGTGCAGAAAATATTGTTATTAATGATGGAAATCCAGTCTGATGACTTTTCCTATACATGCGGTACCTGTTAAGATAAAAACATGGCAAATGATTAAAAAAAAAAAAAAAAAAAAAAAAGGGCTAAAAGCATCAGTTTGATTAATTACAATTACTGATAATTTCTATAGATTTCCACAGAGAAATGAAAAAAGAAAAAAGAAAAAAGAAAAAAAGAAAAGAAAAGAAAACAACCAAACAAGATGGATTCCTTTCCATTGTCTTAAGCAAAAATTTCAGTCTTTTTCAAATTGTTCTCAGCTGTCTTTATCAAATATATTTTTCCATTACTGGGGAAAATTTGAACATCACTTGTTAGAATCTGCTGCTCAGATTGTATTATTTTATATATGTATATAAACAAGGTATTCTCAAATTTCATTGTGTAAATTTGACACCTGATTTAAGAAAGAAAAAAAAAAAATGTTTCATTTTTGTAAACATTCTCACCACAAAATATCAGTCTTTTTTGCTTTGTAACATCACACATATCTAATTATTGAATTTCAATAAACTTTTTGCATTTATGTAAAAATTTTTTTTAAAGCAGTCTTTCACAATTTTAGAGAAAATTTTTTTCATGTGACCCATCCCTTCTCCCTTTTCATTTGATGATTTTCAGATGTGTATTGAGGTATACTAAATTTACACACTTTATAAAGAGAAGTTCTTGAATAATTAGTACTGAAAAAGAAAAAAAAAAAATCAGAATGCAGAAGAAAATTCAATATGGATGCCTTAGCTTCAAATTTTCAAAAGAATATTTGAAATAAAAATTCATCCACTTTCTGATATTTTTTAATTTATATTCTAGGACTTATCTGCATGTGTGTGTGTGTGGGGGGGATTAGAGAAATTTTTATTTTTTTTTTTTATTTTCTGTAATATTGATTTAAGAACTTTAAATTCTCTGTTCTTTCAAAATGGTATACCACTCTGGGGTTTTGTTTTGTTTTTAAAAATTAATAAATAAATATAGAAAGATATAGGGAAAATATTCTCTACAACTGTTTCGAATTTTAAAAATATATTACACAGATGTTGATGGTATATTATTATTATTATTAACTATGGATGCACAGACTTGTAATAATTTCTGCTTCTCAGTTAGCACCATTTATGCATGTGCTATATCAAATACCGAAAATAGTTAATGTATTTGAGTTTTTCTGACATACTTTATAATCAGCATTTCTTGCCAGAGAATGTTTCAGAATTCATTTTTAAAAAGCAGTGGAGGTTTGTAGGGACATCATTATTATTATTTTTATTAATAAGCTACAACACATATCAGTTTACAAAAAGAAAAAAAAATATTGTGAAGAACCAAGTGGTTAGAAAATGGAATAGAAAAAAGAAAAATTGAAATGTTACTATAAGGCCTTCACTAGTTACACTTCATCTACATAACATTTAGCATAAGAACGTATGGTTAATGTCATCAGTTCTAATGTTTATATAGAACTTGATGATCTTAAAATTAAACAAGAGAGTCTGAAATGTGGTTCCTACCAACAGTCATTTCTTCTCATTGCCATTGGGTTCAAAAGGCAGGTTTACTCATTTTTGTCAATCAACATATGACTATTCTCATGAAGACATGTACAGGATTTGATGCTGTTTAGACAGAATTACTGTTAAATATTTCAACAATTTTATGGCTTCCCTAAAACAAAAGTTCCATCCATAAAACAAATGGGAAAGAACAAGAAAGAGAGAGAAATGGCCTATGATTACAAATCCAATGAAAATTTTATATCTTGTCAAAAAAACATCAATTAAAAATTTGAGTTCTTACAATTTTCTTTTGTGATAAACATTAAAGTCCAAATTTGAATCTTGCAAGGAAAAAACAATACTTAATTAATAAAAAGTTGGCTACATAATTAAAATTGCCTCTTGAATTGGCAAAAATCACAATGGGCAACATCTTAATGACGGAAAATTTGATATTGTAAACAAAAATAATCGTAATATAAAATTTTATGGCAAATAGGATCTTTACTCAATTTAACTACGCCAAAAAATAGTGAAGATTATATAAAAAACAAAAGAAAAAAAAACATTAAAAAATATATTTTTTATAACATGGATGGCTCACCCCAGTCAGGCTGACACAAGTATGTGTTGGCAGCTTGCGACTGAATTACTTCAGTTTATAAGTATGGTGGCTCATTTTTATATATATATATATATATATATATATATATATATATATATATATATATACACTTTGCTAACTAGACATTTCCTCTGTAGCTAATTGGTATAGCACATCAGGCTATATGACAGTTCTGTGTAGGTTACAGATTTGATTCCTGTCAGAGGACATGTTTTCTACGAAATTTCTCAGACATTCAGGCCGGTAAATGTAATTAATACAGTTTATTATAAACAGCATTTACTTAAATATTTCTATCTATAAAAATAACGTATAAACAGAATGTTTTTTTTTCTTTTAAATATAACAATAATTACTTTTTAAAAAAGTAATGAATTCTATAATATGCAAGGTTTACAAAGAATGCATGAAAAGTCAAATCTAACTTTACTATTTTTACATCTTTGACTAAAAAAATAGTAAAAGTGTTCAAGTTTTTGGTAAAATTTAAAGAAATAAAATTTTCAATGAAAAATTTAAGCAGCAAACTGTTTTATTTTCATACTAAAAAACAATTTCCATATAAGTGGTGAAGCAATCAGAAAATAGTTTTACATGAAAGACAATTGCAAAATCTTTAGATACCTCCACTAATTCACTGAAGAAAAAAAAAAAACCCCCAAAAAACAAAAAAATCAGCATGACATGAAAAAGATTTTATCATCAAAATGCTTATGTTATTATTAAGAAGAAAGATCAAAGTACTTTTAAATTTATTAAGTTTAATACCAGTTTTTGACCACCAGGATTTTGAAAAGAATTTTGGATGTTTTTATGCATACAAAATATAATATGTAACATGCCCATTTTTGAAAGTATGGTTGACCATACACAACATTATCAGAAGATGAGAGTGATGACAAAAGTAAAATTAAAGTCAACATTTCTAAAGTTAGATTATAGAGAATATTTTTCAACATTTTTCAGATTACTAAGTACTTAAAATTATATAAAAAGGCTCTCATGTCATTTTCTTAAAATGTTTTACAGATAAAGTCTCTGTAGAATGACAATCTCATTGCCTTGTCAAACACGTAAAACATGGTGATGTCTGTTAAAACACTGCTACTATTTGCTGAAAAAATTAATTTCTGCATATTTTAAACTAGGTACATCCACGAGATCGCTAAAAAAAGAGCATAGCATGATGAAAAAGACGCCAAACTTGACGAAAACAAAATTTTATCGTCTAAATGTTTGTTATTATTAAGAGGAAAGGTCAAAGTATTTTTGGGGTATTTTTTTCCATTTTTTAATTGTTCCTAGCACGTCCGAAATTTTCGTTAAAAATCTAGTTTTTTTTGAGTCAGCAAAATTGACCATTTTTTTTCCATTTTAAAAAAAACTGGAAATCCGACTTTGAAATTTTTTAAAATATCAATTATCATTTTTTCAAAACTTATTTTAAGAAAATCAGAAATGATAATGTTTATTTAAAATATTTTTAACCAAACTTAACTTAGCTTTTGTGCCAAAAAGATGTAATTTGAAAATAAAACAAAGCAGGTCATAAACTTTCGCGTCTCTTGACATGTGATGAATGATATATTTACGAATTCCATGAGGCTAATTTGTTCTACAGAAGGAGAAAAGTGAAATAATTTACATTTACGTGAACAAATTATTTACCCAGTTATTTTTAACGAAAACTTTCAGCGGTCTAATTTTTTTTTTTTTGTATTTAGCTTTCACCTTTACGTTTATGATGCTTTATGGGAAATATATTGTAAAGAAATTAAAATAAAATTGTTAAGAGTGACAGTAAATTTCATATTTCTTAAGAAAGGTATCTAATTAATTTATAGGTACCTTTCTTATGAAATTTTATCAGAATTGTACATAAAATACTATAATTTTATGTACATTTATTACATTCTACTGTTATTTGTATTTGCATTCATTTTATTATTAATTTTGATATTTCATTTATGGAAAATGTCGTAACTGAGATTAATATAAAATAAGATCATATAAATTTCATAAGATGATACTGATACTTGTAGGTACCCTTCTCAGTTGAAATTGAAAAATCAAATTAACTTCTCCACACGTGTTTTGCAAAAGTAAAGGCCTTAACAGCAGAGAACAATGCTTAACTCAAATAACGCAGCTTAATTATAAGCTGGTCTTCCGTATTTTATAATTACAGCTCGATTATAAGCACAAAATTACATTTCTTAATTACTGGGGATCTTCTGATTAGTCAAAATGATACAATTTACAATGCGCAAAAAAAAAAGATCTATCTCATAAGGACACTTATGAAAGCCAATGCGGCTTTTTTAACTAATTTTATAATATTTTAACAACTTAAATGTAAAATCTATTATAATTAATGAAATAACAAATAATTGTATTAAAAATTCATTTTCATCGAAAAAATTTTTTTGCTTTCAGAAAATATTGTCCATATTCATAAAAACAACTAAAAGCAAATAAAAGCATTTGAAATTAAATAATATCTTTGTTTTATTGAGTTTTGTATGTTACAATTCAGAGCTGATTTTCAGGTACTGCGTATCCAATAAAAACGAAAAAAAAACATGATTTGCATTCCTCAAAGCCCTGTGCTTTTTAATTATTGTAATCACTAAAAACCGATGCGATCGAATTTCTAGCGTTTTCATAAAATTAGTTGGGGGGGTAATAAATATTTTTAAAAAATATTTCTACCATGACTTTCATAAAAAAACATATTTATAATAATTTCGATCATCTGTGAATAGCTCCTGAAAGTTTTAACATCCGATAATTATTTCTATTTTTGCACGA